GCTATCGGAGACGTTTGGTTTCAGAGATGATTAACATCAAGAAACAAAAGAATGGTCTCAATTTACAGACTGATACCGATGGCCTCCACAAAGCTTATATTCCAATCATAAATAGAGTTTGACTTTCGGTTACGAACAGTCCGTCTCCTCTCTCAGTCTGTGTTGATCCGCACTACTGAACGTACATGAAAATCGATACATAATGTCTGTCTTACATATCTGCGCTCCTTCTCACTGTACATATTTCATAAGTTTTTTATTTCTTTTTGGACATATTAATTCAAACTTCTTACATATGATTTCTGGTGAGTTTTTTATGAAATAATTTTTATTGATTTTGTTGGATTTTCGGTATTTTATATTATTTTATTTATGCGTAGTTGTCGGTAGTACGTTTTTTTGTTTTTTAATTTATTCTTTTTATTAACTTGAACTTTACCAATGACATTTTTAATACTTTTGACTGTTCAACCATACGGAAATTATGTTTTGAGATCAAGACTCACCCGAACTGTGATTATTCTGAATATAAGAACATTTGCGACAATTAATTTTATTCTGTTATTTTTCATTGTACTAATGTCTGAAGAGGGCTCAAACTGGTAGCCGAAACTTGTTACTTGTAATGTATTAGTTTATAGTCTTATTTTTTGCGTGATGTTTCATCGCTGTTAATATAATATATAATTTTATGAAAATTTAAAAAATGTGGTTGACTCTTACTTCGCCCGTTGATTGAGTTTTGTTATTATTGACTTTCCCTCGTATTGTCTATAGTTGCCTCAATAATCAGGCTAACTTAAAATCACATTGATTATTTAAAAATTTCATAAAAGGTCCAAACCATAAGCTGCAAAAATTGATTATAGGAAAGTAAATAAAACATTAAATATGCAAAATAAAAAACAAGCAGAATACCTGTTTTTGTGACTAATTTATTATAAGCATTCTATTTAGATGTTTTAACTCTTGGAAAAAGATTTTGCTTTCTCATCCATTCTTTCAAATTTCTTGCTCTATTAAAAAGTTTTCCTCTAGTAAGAGATTGATTACTTCCCTCTTCTTATTAAGAAAGCAATGTCAAGGAAAGAAAAAACAAAGAAAAGAGGGTTAGGATGGGTGCCGTGGTGGGACAGAGAATGTAAAGTGGAAAAGAGAAAAGCGCATAAAGCTAGAAGAGAGTATAGAAAAGATCAAGAGGAAGGAAAGTATAGAGAATACATAAAGAAAAGGAAAGATTACAGGGAATTATGTGAGAGGAAGAAGAAAGAATATATGAAAAGGGAAGAGAAGGAAGTAGAAAAAATAAGGACTGAAAAACAGGCATGGAATTTTATAAACAAGAATAGGAAAAGAAGGCAGGAAATAAGTAAAGAAATAACAATGGAAAAGTGGGAGAAATTCTTCATGGAAACGTTAGGAGGAGATAAGCAGATAGCAATTGCTGAAAAAAGAATAGAGAGAGATAGAAGAGGAGACGAGGAGTTAGAGATGGAAAAGGTCTACGAGGAAATAAAAAGGTTAAAGAAAGGTAAAGCAGCAGGAATAGATGAGTTAAAAAACGAGGTATGGATAAGTGGGGGGGAAAAAGTGTGGAAGAAGTTAGGAGAAGTAATAAAGAAAGTATGGAGTGGAGAAGGTATACCAGAGGAATGGAGGATAGGAATGGTAGTACCTATATGGAAGAGAGGAGAGAAGAAAGACGTAAAAAACTACAGAGGAGTGACTTTAATGTGTACATCTTATAAAATATATACGAATATATTAAACAAGAGAATCGTTGAAGAATTAGATGATAAGAATGGGTGGGGAAGATCACAAGCAGGTTTTAGAAAGGGAAGAAGCACAATAGAGAATATAAAGATACTAAAATATTTAATAGGAAGAAGGTTAAAGGATAAAAAGAAGTTATGGGTGTTGTTTGCAGATCTAAAAGCAGCGTTTGATAATATAGATAGAGCAGTACTATGGGATATGATGAAGAAAAGAGGAATTACAGAAAGTATAATAGATAGGGTGAGGGAGATTTATGAGGATACGAGATGCAGAGTAAGGATAGGGGATGAAGAAACAGAAGAATTTAGGGTGAAGAAAGGAGTGAGGCAAGGGTGTCCGCTTAGCCCAACGTTATTTAATATATATATTGCCGATATTGAAGAGGAAATGGAAAAAGGGCCAGGCGGAGTAAAAGTAGGGAATAGTAAAGTATGGACACTGGAATACGCGGATGATATTGTAATGGTAGCGGAAGAGGAAGGACAGATGAGAGTGATGTTGAGGATGCTGAAAGGATATTTGGAGAGAAAGAAGCTAGAATTAAGTACGGAAAAGTCGAAAGTTGTGGTATTCCAAAATGATGGAGGAAGAAAGAAAGTAGGAAGCTGGTGGTGGGGGGGGAAAAAAATAGAAGAAGTGAAGGAAATTAAATATCTAGGATATATTATGAAAAGTAATAATAAGGAGGATGGACATATAAGAGAGAGGGTAAGGAAAGCCAGGATAGCAATGGGGTGGATATGGAGCTTTGGGGAGAGAAAGTTTAAGGGGGACATAAGATGGAGAGTGAAGTTATTCGATAGCATAGTGAAGGGGATACTTTTATATGGGGTGGAGATATGGGGGTATAAAGAATGGAAGGAAGTAGAGAAGCTGCAAGAGAAATATTTAAGATGGATATTAAAGTTGGATGGAACAACACCGGGATATGTAGTAAGAGAAGAATTGAAAAGAGAGAAAATAAGAATTGAAGCAGGCAAGAGAGCAGGGTGGTTTGAGGACAAAATGGAGTGTGGAAAAGTAGGAGAAATAGGACAGAGATGTATTAAAGAAAGAAGAAGAGAGGAGAAAGAGAGGGAGGAAAAAGATTGGACAAAGGAAAGTATAGAGAGGCGGAACTATTTGTGGAGGTGTGGTAGAAGTGAAGAAGCACTACAGGAAGAAGGAGAGGACAAGTGGACCAGGATGAAAGACAGAGATACGGAGGTAGACGAACAGGAGAGGGGATTTAAAGTGAGTAAATCAAAGTCATGTGAGGAATACAGATGGGTACAAGGTATCCCAGAATATATAAGAAGAAACAAAAATAGGACCGAGGGAAAGAAAATACAGAGAGTAGCAAGATGGAGGTGCGGAAATGAAACGAAAGGAAATAAGTATTGGTTGAAGGATGAGGAGAGAAGATGTAGATTGTGTGGATGGGAGAGTGAGTCAGTAAGACACCTGAGAGTATGTGTAGGTTTGGATGGAGAGAATGAAGATGAAATAGATGTATTAAACGAGGATGGGAGAGGATATGAGTGGATGGTGAAAGTTGAGAGAAAGAGAATGAATGAAGGAGAAATAAACAAAGAGAATGATTGATATATAAAGAATCAAATTGTAATTAAATTGTAATTAAGGAAGTTATGTAATCACAATGGTGGAAACATTAATAAACAATAATACTTCCCTCTTCTTTTGGAGCAATATAATAAACATTCTGTAATAAATTATTAATAATATAAATTAAAGATTTATATGTCAGATTAATGCGGGGTTTGCAATATATTGGAGACGTGAATAATCATAGGGTCTTAAATCATAGGAAATTAACTATTCATAGTCGATTATTTTCCTCATATTCGATTATGATTGATCAATTTTTTACGACTTAAGATCCTATGATCCACCGTCTACAACTTCTATTGTAGATTCCGCATAACATGCAGATGAAACTTAGTACAGTATCTCTTCATTTGCAAATAGAGTTAAAATCTTGTCTTTCAATATAATTAACTCAGATTTTTTTGGCCTGTAAACAAAAAATAAAGAATAAAACAAAAAATAAAATTTTGCTAAGTTGCTTTTAGTAGTTTTTAGTTAGAAAAAAAGTACACAAGCTTTAATTTAACTACTGTTATTCACAGTATTCAAGTAACCAAGAGAGAAACATATTAAAATATATTTATTAATGTAATAGCTTACTAAGTGATATGGAAAAGTAACCATTTAATAACAAGGGCTGTTCGATCTTCTTCTTTCAAACACTTATTCATTTCATAAGTTTGAAGAATAGCCTTACCTCTAAAAACTGATCAAGTAGTTTCTTTAAATCCTGAAAAGCAATAACAAAGTTTTTTTTGCAATTTTCCTATAACAGTAGCAATGCAATAAAGAGTTTTGATGTGAAAGCTTGATTAATAAAAAAATCATAAATTTGACCTTGGATGTTGATAAGAAAATTAAACTATATCAAAAGTAATGTGGGTGAAGGAATGGTTCGGTATTAACTGTGACTCGGTTGGCGCGGACACTTGTACTTTATTCGTTAGACAGAAGTCGAAAGCGTGGTGCGTTCGAGTCGACAAGTAAAATATGACTGACTCTTCTCGAGATTCTTGCGCGGTTCTTCGCGCATCACACGCGAGCTTCCTTTGTTTCGAAAAAGCTCCAGGCGTACCCGATTCGAGGAATAAACAAAAGATACACCGAGTTACGGTGACAAAAGACGGAAGAAAAAAATATAGAGAAAGCCAAACAGAAACTCTACACTGAGGGCGACGCCGCGCGCACGTGTCGCTACAGTACCCCCCTGCTAGTGATTTGCCTAATCACGAGAAACCGCCTTGAAGTCGGTCCGGGAATCGCACTCGTCTGCCCGATCGTGTGGTTTGCCGTAAAGCGGTCTTAGTCGGCTCCTGGGCGGTTGGTGGGTCGGTCCTCCTTGCTGAATTTTCTGGGTTATCCAGCTCCGATGGCACGGACGGTTGCAATGATGTGCTGGGACTTGGGGGGTTCTCCAAACGCTGCTCGATTGGTAGCGAGCTAGCCTTCTCTGGTTCCTCGTCTTCTGAAATGATGTAGGCGGGCTTCAGCCGATCGACACGGTTACATTCCTATCTCGGATGTGAACCACGAACGTTTTCGGTTTGCGGCTGACCACTTTGTAGGGTCCGTCATACGGTCGCTGCAGGGTTCCTCCAGGTGCGTTGTGGCGCACGAATACTTGGTCCGCCGTACTGAGATCTTTGAACACAAAGGTCCGCCGTTCGCCGTGGCGGGTGCCATTTGTCGGGCGGAGTCTTCGGAAGTGCTGCCTTAAATCTTTGACGTATTCGGCCGCGTCGCCTTCTGGGAGTGCTCTTGAAGCCAAGAACTCTCCGGGCAACCGAATTGACTCGCCGTAGAGAAGGTCGGCTGTGGTCGCTCCCAAATCCTCTCGCCACGCAGCCCGGATGCCGAGCAGCACGGTGGGAAGAACCTTTGTCCATTGGTCCTTCTCGTGGCACTTGATGGCTGCCTTGAGCTGTCGATGTAGCTCTATCATCCCATTGGCCGCTGGGTGATACGCTGTTGTCTTGAGGTGCGCTACTCCGTATAGCGCGCTAAGCTGCCTGAATAACTGCGATTCGAATTGTCTCCCCTGATCGGTGGTGATGCGGAGTGGGATGCCGAATCGAGCTATCCAGCCCTCGTAGAAGGCGCGAGCGATGGTGACTGCCTCCTGGTCCACGAGCGGCATCACCTCCGGCCATCGAGAGAATTGGTCGATGCAAGTCAGGCAGTACCTGTAGCCTTCCGAGCTGGGCATGGTGATAAGGTCGAGATGGACGTGCTCGAATCTCGATGACGGTGGTGCGAAGGTACCGCACGGCGCCGAAACATGGCGAGTTATTTTTGATCGCTGGCACTCTATGCAGCTTCTTGCCCATCTTCGACAGTCGGATTTGATTGAAGGCCAAACGAATCGTTGTGTCACTAGCTTGACGGTCGCCTTGATCCCTGGATGCGCGAGCTGATGTACCGATTCGAATGCCGCCCGGCGGAACTGTTCGGTGACGAACGGTCTTGCTGTTGTTGAAGACACGTCGCAATACACACTCACCGGTGTCCCCGGTAAATGCACCCTTTTTATCTGCAGTGCCGAGTTCCCATTAAGCTAGATTTTTAACTCGTCGTCGGTCTCCTGTGATGTTGCCAGGGCTTCGTAATCCAAAGCTGCGATTTCTTCAACGCGTGAGAGGGCGTCGGCGACGATGTTGTCCTTACCGGATACGTGCCTGATATCGGTCGAGAATTGACCGATAAAGTCGAGGTGACGGCATTGCCGGGACGAGCCCTTATCGGCTTTCTGTCAAAAAGCAAAGGTGATCGGCTTGTGCTCCGTGTAGATCGTGAAGGTCCTAGCTTCTACCATGTGCCTGAAATGTTTGACGGCGAGGTAGATGGCGAGGAGTTGCCGGTCGTATGCGCCGTACTTCTCTTCGGCACCACTTAGCTTCTTAGAGAAGAAGGCTAATGGTTCCCAACTATCGCCGATTCGTTGTTGAAGGACCGCCCCCACTGTGAAATCCGAGGCGTCGGAGACCATTGCGAGCGGCGCGTCCGGTTCAGGGTGAGCCAGTAAAGCCGCTTGCGGAATGCTCTCCTTGCATTCATCGAAGGCGGCCTGTGTCGATGTAGTCTAGGCGATGGGGGTCTTGCCCTTGATATTCCCCTGGAGTAGGCGAGTCAACCATTCAATGGTGCTTGAAGGTAAGCCGCTCTGGGTATGAACCTCCTATGAAAGTTCAACATACCCAGGAACTGTCGCAGCTGTTTCGCCGTCGTCGGCTGCGGGTAACTCCGGATGGCTTCGACCTTCTCGGGCAAGGGCTGAGTCCCCTCGGCGGAAACTCGATAGCCAAGGAATTTAACTTCTGCCTGCCCGAACGCGCACTTGGTCTGGTTGATAACTATCCCGAATTTCCTTAGCCGTTTGTACACGATCTCCAGGTGCTGCAGGTGCTCGCGTTCGGAAGTCGATGCGACGAGTATGTCGTCTATGTACGCGTAACAGAAATCCAGACCTCGGAGGACTTCGTCGATGAACCGCTGGAAGGTTTGCGCGGCGTTGCGCAGGCCAAACGACATGAACGGAAATTCGAATAATCCGAACGGTGTCGTTATAGCCGTTTTTCTGATGTCCTCCGGTGCGACGGGGATCTGGTTGTACGCCCGAACTAGATCTATGGTTGAAAAGATACTTTTACCTCGTAAGGACTGCGCGAAGTCCTCTATGTGTCGGACGGGGTATCGGTCTGGCAAGGTCCTTGCGTTGAGGGCGCGGTAATCTCCGAACGGACGCCACTCGTCGCTGGCTTTCTTCGGGACCATGTGCAGTGGTGATGCCCAGCAGCTTTCCGATGGTCGTGCTGTCCCAAACTGGATCATGGTCTCGAATTCCTTCCTGGCCGCGCGCAGTTTCCCCGTCGGCAAACGTCTTGGCTTATTTGCCACGGGAGGACCTGGTGTCGTTCAGATATGATGTTGGGTCGAATGTTTTGGCTCAGCAGGGGCGCCGCTCGGGCGCGTGATTTCAGAAAACTTCTGTAACTGCTTGTGATAGATCGACGTTCCAGCAATGGTTTTAACGCCGGGGATGTCACCCTTTGCGACGTGACCTTTGGCAGTCAACGAAGTCAGCTGATCCACTAGGCGACGGCCACGAACGTCGACGAGCAAGCCATAGAACGCCAGGAAATCCGCTCCGATGATTGGTTTAGGCACGTCGGCGACGACGAACCTCCACGTGTAGGCCCGGCGTAACCCGAGGTTGAGCGTAATCGTGATCGTGCCATAAGTCGCGATGACGCTGTTGTTTGCCGCCGTGAGCTCATACGTTGACTTCTCCCTCGACCCGCGTAGAAATGTTCTTAGGTAAACGCAGAGATCGGCGCCGGTATCAACTAAAAATACCTTCTTGGAGTTTTTGTCCGTGACGAACAAGCGGAGGGACGTAGGGCTCGGGTCGCTTGCCTCCATTAGCGACCGCCCGGATCGTTTCCCGAACGGAAGTTGCACGGCGGTTCGCATCTCGTCGCGTCAGCACCAAACCGCCAGTGGTACGCATGGACGCTGGAATTCGCCCTAGCCAGATGGTTTTGAGCAACTCGTCCAAAACGGCGGTGCCCGCCAGTCCACGCAGGTGGCGAAGGAACTGGGATGGCTTTCGGTCTCCCATCTCCTCTTGTTCGAATAACTGCCGAGTCTTTTTCTCCTGTGAGGTCCCGAGCCGGCGTATGAGCTCCGTTTTAAGTAACTGGTACTTTCCGGTCTCGGGTGGATCGACCAATATATCGCGGACGTCCTCGGCGTATCGGGCATCGAGGTTGCCCGTGACGTAATGAAATTTTGTATCGTCGTTTGTGATTCCCGAGAGCGCAAATTGACTCTCCACCTGGCGGAACCACAGTTCGGGATTGCGAGCCCAGAACGGCGGAATCTTGGTCGCCACTCGGTCGATCGATGCGGCAGAGCTTTCTTTATCCATGATAGCAGGAGTTATGGTTGGGTCTCAACGTCAGTTCTTATAATTTTTTGGTGTACTTACACAATTACCCACACTGCACTTTACGGAAAACGCGATATATGCATGCGAGATCACGTCGGGGTCACCAATTATGTGGGTGAAGGAATGGTTCGGTATTAACTGTGACTCAGTTGGCGCGGACACTTGTACTTTATTCGTTAGACAGAAGTCGAAAGCGTGGTGCGTTCGAGTCGACAAGTAAAATATGACTGACTCTTCTCGAGATTCTTGCGCGGTTCCTCGCGCATCACACGCGAGCTTCCTTTGTTTCGAAAAAGCTCCAGGCGTACCCGATTCGAGTAATAAACAAAAGATACACCGAGTTACAAACCGGTGACAAAAGACGGAGGAAAAAAATATAGAGAAAGCCAAACAGAAACTCTACACTGAGGGCGACGCCGCGCGCACGTGTCGCTACAGTAAAAATAATAATTAGTTTCGGTCAACGTTATAAAAATCTAATGAAAGCAAAATAATAATTAATATTTTGATCATATTTTTTTTATAATGCGTATAAAAATCTCAAGCTGACTTAAATAAACAATAAAATTGAAAGTAAAAGTCCAATTTTATTTAGTTACCAAATCCATTAATTCACATGAAGCACTCAAAGCAGTGATTTTTTTTCAGCAAGTATGTCTGGAGTAACTATTTTCTTAACAGAAGTTGGATTTTCTGTTTTAGCTAAAGTTTGCTTTCCTTTTAATCCTAATTCATTAAGAAATTTGTTGTTTTCCGAATCTGATTCTGAATTCTAAAATAAAAAATTAATATGTAGTAGAATTATAAATTAGAGAGAGAGTAAACTCTTTTTTAAAGAAAATTTTTAATGAAAATTATTTTTAAAAATAAATAAATTTAATGATATATGTATATTTATTCTAGTGATATATTATATCTTTTCATTGTAGCACAGCAATCTTATGTCGATTCAAACATGTAAATACTGTGCTCCCATCCAGAATAAGTCTATTTTATTTTACAACAAAAGTTAATTTCTTAATTTAAGTTATATTATTGTAGTTTAATAATATAATACTTACATTAATGTAATCTGAATCGTCAGAAACGTCCTCAACTTCTTTAGATAAAATCGAAATTTTAGACTTCATTTCATTGATTCGTCCTGTTTCATTTCGTTATTTATGGATAAAAATATGTCTTCTGTCTAGATTTAGCAGACGTGACTAAAAGAAAGAGAAAATACGTATTTGAATATATAAAACTTTTCAATATAAGATTTATGTGGTTGTGATTAGAAACATTAAGAGAGACTATTAATTAATTCAAAACACAAATTTTAAATTATAATTTATTTCAAAGTTAGAAACTACGTTTTGATCAATGTTATCAAAAATAATGATTTAATTAAAGTTATATGTAATGTACACTGTAATGTGTATGTTGTGTAATCTATACATATATATATACATATACATATAAATATATATATCTATACATATATATATATATACATTTTGAAAATAGATGGAACATATCTTACTTGAAATTTGATATTATCTTTCTATTCAGCATATTTTTTCCAAAATTTTCATTCCTAGAACAAATTCCTTTAATAATTTTTTTGCATCATTTTCATTAAATTGCAAAAATACATTAACATCTATTCCTTGATCTGAAATTAAATTTCACATACAAAAAAGAAAATATTACTTTTAAAAACTAGTAATTATTTAATATTTACAAATAGATTAATACTTATTCTTCCAAAACAGCAGTTAGAAGTTTCTATTTTGTAATCTGTTTATCTATTTATTAACCCTCGTTTAGTGTTAACTAAAAAAATTTTGAAAAGGAAAATTATTTCTAAAATAAAAAATGTTAGTCTAGGTCTACTTTGCCTGCGTTTTAATATTCACTGTCAGTATTGCAATCTATAGCATACGTTACGTGCACTATATTTTCAGAACTGGCAGTGAATATTGCAGCCCTAGACTTATACCATTTTTACGAACAAAAATAAAACGTAGAAATCTGCATAGGTCACAGATCTAGGCACGGTCCAATGATTACGAGTATGTATATATATATATATAAT